TTCTTAAATTAATGATCAGTAAATTAGAGAAGTTGTTTTTCATAACCTCAGTTTCCCTGATAAGTAATGTTTTTGTAGGCTATAAACAGATAGAGTATGGAAGAAGTTAATGGAGAGTTAATTGCACCTAACAACTAAAATTAACAAGATTTAACAGACAAAGGTTAAGAAATTGTGAAGGTTAACTTGTTTTCCATAGAAAAGAATAGATTTATGTATGAACAAATGTTTAACTAAAAGGTTTCAAGGTGCCTGAATGTCTCCTATGCCTTGAGATAATGTTTTTGCTGTAACTTCTCATCCCTGTTGTAAATTTAAGAATTGTAAACCATAAGGAATGTGCCTCAAGATAGATTGTACCTTGATGTCATTGATTACTATGAATGCAATGTTTTCTGTAATGGTATATAAGGGGGTTGTAAGACAGAACAAAGAAGTAGTAGTAGTAAGTAGAAGTAGTAGTAGTAGTGACAAGAATAGGGGGAGAAGAAGGAATATGAGATGGAGAGGAGACGAGACAAGAATGAGGGAGGATAGAGGGAGTAATGGAGAGAATGGAAGCTAGTAAAGGGAGCAGAAGAGGGGAACAGAAGAAGGGAGCAGAAAAGGGGAGCAGGAGAGGAGAGAAGGGAAGCAGGAGCCAGGGGAGGGGAGAAAGGAAACAGAAGATATGAGCAGGAGAGCAGGCAAGTAAAGAATGAGCGGGACAGTAAAGAATGAGAGAAGTAGAGTATTAGAGTAGCCATAGAAATAATAATAATAAAGCATGTAATGAGAAGATTTTGAATTTATCATGATCCATGACTCCGTAATCCGCCGACGCCGCATCCGCTTTCGGAAAAACCCTGGACTAAGTCTGCTGGGGCTGGCTCCCGGCACCCAAAGTGTCTCATTACAACCTTGTCGCCCTTGCTGCACTTCCACCTCTTGACTGACGTGACATCCGAGGACGGAAACCCCACCTTTGAGCCGGACTTAAGGGCCGTAGTGCAAGGAGATTCGTGTTTAACAGCGACCACACAACTGCCACTCGCCTGTCTGTCGTGCTGTGGTGGTTTGAATTGCTGTGATTCTGAGGGCTATGCCACCAGTATTTTAAATAACCAGCAGGGTCACCCATGGTGGACAGGTTTCGGATGAGCTTCCAAACAAAGACAGACTAGGAAGGAAGAGTGACAAACTACTTCTGAATCGCTAGTAACTGAAAACTCTATGAATAGCAGAGAACCACTGTCAGATACAGGACCGGAAGGTGGGAAGGCACTCAGAATGCGACTGGGGGAAATAAAATGCCTCCTCCAAGTAGAGAAAAGCTCACAGAACCTTCATTTGCTAATGGGCCACAAATCAAAATGAAGAGAAACAGCTGTAAACATCCAGAGAAAATCGGAACATGGAATGTATGAAGTATGAATCTGGGAAAATTGGAAATTGTCAAAAATGAAATGGAATGCATCAACATCAATATCTTAGGCATTAGTGAGCTGAAATGGACTGGTATTGGCCATTTTGAATCTGACAACCACATGATTTAC